GAGAGAGAGAGAGAGAGAGAGAGAGAGTGTGTGTGTGTGTGAGAGAGAGAGAGTGAGAGTGTGTATGTGTGTGTGTTTGTGTATGTGTGTGTGTGTGTGTGTGTGTGTGTGTGAGAGAGAGAGAGAGAGAGAGAGAGAGAGAGAGAGAGAGAGAGAGAGAGAGAGAGAGAGAGAGAGAGAGAGAGAGAGAGAGAGAGAGAGAGAGAGAGTGTGTGTGTGTGTGTGAGAGAGAGTGTGTATGTGTGTGTGTGTGTTTGTGTATGTGTGTGTGTTTGTGTGTGTGAGGACGTGCAAAGCGTGTTTCCACCCACTAAAAACGTTCCTTCGCTGATCTGGAAAAGATCGATAATGAGAATGAGGCCTGAACTTCTCAAACACACTCGCAGTATGAATCATCCGAGCTCAGAAACACAGGAGAATCGGAGACGCAGAGCTGCCCACATTATCAGTGACACAGAGCCACATCATGTCAGGAATCAGCGGCTGACGCGCTCGTGAACAATCCTCCATTATTCTCCAACATTATAATCTCATATATTTATGACCCATAAACATGGACTCCTTACAGACTCTATTTCCCACGTTTCCACACGATTTAGTGCCAGACACAAAATCCTGATATATTTCAGGTGTCTGCAGTATCTTTCAAGTTATTTATTATTATTACTGCTGCTATTATTAATTATGTAATTCTTATTATTATTTAAAATATTTAATTACATGATATTTTTCTACTTGCGTTAGTACAGTACTGCTTATATGTATTATTTATTCATTATTTATTTTATTTATTTATTAATTTTTTTATTGAAATTGTTATTCTTTCAGTATATTTAGTCTTTCGGATTCATCATCATCATGATTTAAAATATTTAGTTTCTATTAGTTCACTTTTTTTCCCTACATTTATTTATTTAATATAAATCTATTTTTTATTGTTTTATTGTATTTTTCTTTCATAAGCATATCATTATTTAGTGCCAGACACAAAATCCTGATTTATTTAATGTGTTTTATGACCTTTTTCTGTCTGTATCTTTATTTATTTATTTAAATTGTTTAGTTTCTATCAATGAAGTATCTTTATTTTTCCTACTTTAGTACTGTACTGTTATATTTGTTTATTTATTCATTCATTCATGTAAATCTAATTTTTCTTTCCTCTGTAAGCACACGATTATTAAGTGCCAGACACAAAATCCTGCTTTATCCAGGTATTTTATGCTCTTTTTCTGCTTGCAGTATCTTTCAGAGACTCGTAAAATGTCATAGATGAAGTGGGCAGGGAGACCGTGAGATGAAAGCATATATCCCAGCATGCACTGCGGCTCAGGCAGATCAATAACAGCATCCATCTGAGCTAAAGCGAGCAGAAGTAAAGCAGTATACGAGCATCTGGATCATGTTTGAGAAGTTTGTCTGCCGTGTTTTCAGTCTTTAGACCTCGAGCCAAAGTTAGCTTTCAAAATGTAGTCTTTTGTTTCAGTCGTTCATCCAGCACAGTTTGGTCTCTGTGTTCTTGTTTGGAGGGTGTAATCTATTAACTACACGCATCAGAAACACGTCTGTCATAAAATACTTTAACAATTTATATTTAAAGTGATCACAGTTTAATAAAAACATTGCAAGTTACAAATAATTTCATTACTTCGTTTCAATTCCTCGGTTATTCAAACATCGAATAAATTATATACAGAAAGCGAGCAAAGAATTTCCATTATCACTGACTATAGTCTAGCGCGAGTTTAAGCACTCTCAAACGACTCCCATTATAAATACTAGGGATGCACCGATACCGATACTGTGTCTGTATAGGTGTCTGAATAAATTTTGGTTGGGCTGTATCAATTTGATAAATGAAGTTAACCAACTAACATTATACATACCCTTTTGGTTTCTGTACCCAATATTTAAAACATTTACAAATGCAATAAAAATATCGGTATCGGTACCTCGGTATCGGAAAGTACCAAAAATAAAAGTATCGGTATCGGGCGAGTACTGGAAAAAGTGGTATCGGTGCATCCCTAATAATCACTGAAGCTCCTACACCGTCAAATGAATCTCTCACTTACATCTTTGTTGTTCGTGATGGGAGGATTCGCGAGAGAGCAGAATTCATCGAGCGCGAGCACTGAACTAAACTCCGGCGTTAACGCCTGAAAACAACGAACGACTCGAAGACTAATCATTTCTCTTTCCTGTACAGAACCTATTGGATGTTGCGCAACATGAAATGAACGAATCCCTCGCTGAGTCAACTCATCGTTCCGAGTCATTTTAAAGATTCGTTCGAAATAGAAGAACGACCCATCACTACTCGCGAGGGCGCTACTTTTGAAACTGTTTAATCGGCATGAAAACAGAGACTCTATGGATTTCTCAGGCAGGTTTGGTGCTGATCTCTGCTGATCTCTGTTGTTCTCCAGGTTTATACGACAAACAGCCCCAATGGAACGACAGGAAAGACATTTAAGGTTCACCTGCAGCTCTGGGACACGGCGGGACAGGAGAGGTGCGCTCTTCTCTTCTTATTCCTGATCACATCCACACAGTCAGTGGAAGCGTCTCAAAGCAGCCTGTTTCAAAGACCGTTTTAAAGCAGCTTCACAGAAATAAACAGGAAAATAACGGTTAAATATTGTTTAATTCATCAATCGTGATTAGGGTTGGGTATTGTTTGATTTTTCCGATACCGGTGCCAAATCAATACTTTTAAAACAGTTCAGCCTAAGCCTGAACCGATACTTATATATATATATATAAAAAAAAAAAACTTCCACAAAAAATGATGGATTGGCCATTAGCACCGTAAACACATGATGTCGGTTTCATTCATACTGGACGCCAGAGGGCGCCCTCGCACAGAAAATCCAAATATCCAGTCACAGAAGCAGCGGAACTCATGACCCTCCAGGAAATCCCTTATAAGGACAAAGGCATGTAACAGAGTAAACAGAACATATAAACGTTTTGAATGATAAAACAAAGACAATAAACACTCGACTGCGACAATATAGTTTATCTGTGTTATTCAAGCCATCTCTGGTATTTTCATAACAATTAAGTATATTTATAATCCATTGCTAATTGATGTATTCTTTTAAAGTAGCGTATGGAACATATTTTCTGCCTCATTCTGTGACAAGAAGCCATATCAGATCACAAAAGGAAGCATTTGACTGCTGTTGTGGAGTAAATAGGTTATAATGTTCTCTTCTGTTGGACAACAGGTTTAGAAATGTGAATACAAGGGAAGTTTAGCTTTATGCATTTTAATTTAAGCATGTTTAGCTTAGTTAACGGAAGGCTACCTGCTGCCGTGCCATCAGAGCAAGTTACTGCATTCACGCGCTCCTCGGATGCTCTCATTTCCCGAGTTGTGCTTTTAAGTCGGAATTACGGAACTACAAAGATTTGTTGGATTTGTATTATTAGAACTAGGGTTGGGTATCGTTAGAAATTTTCCGGTTCCAGTTTTGCCTAACGATTCTGGTTACATTTAAATGAACTATTATTATTATTATTATTTTTTACTATTTTACCTTAGTAAAATAGGCAGTAAGTAATGTTGAGTAATGCATGTGCTTCAAAGTTGATGTTTTTTACACTATCAATAACATTTGGCTTTTCAAGCAGGAATAAGCTGGTTGGCCAAATAGTCCCTTGAGGGCTAAGACACTTGTTCAGTTCCCTAAATTAATGAAATATTATACATATAACCATGTATACACACACTGCATAAAGCCCCTATTTTACAAATAATAATGCAGTCATGAGATGGTGTGATGCAATGAGTGTTTTCCACATTTTTAAACATTTAAAATGCATGAAAATGACCTGCACTAAATAATCTAACCCTCATACTTGCATAACAACAGCAGTCTATTTATTTAGTGGTCCAAGTTGAAGTCAGTATGTATATTAATGACAATATGGGACAAATATAATGTAATTTAGTGGCGGCACGAGCGTACAGTTATGGAAAGCCATATGGGTCATAATTCGCACGCTTTCCACCGCCGTATCGATATTAAAACGCCGTTAGGCGATAAGTTAACGGCAGACGCCACCACGCGTTAACGGGATTACAAAGGTAAAAAAAAAAATAAAAAAAAGCTTTAAGGAGTCAAATTTTGCCCTATAAGGTTCATTTCTGTCATTGATCAGACGGTGTTCCTTAAAAAAAAATATGTATATATATATATTTTTTTAAATGTAAGCATAGAGGCCTTAAGACTGTAATGTTACCTTTTATGTTTTAGCTAATCAGGCCAATGAGAGACAATTACTAATCATTCTCATTTTTTATTAAATCATTATTTTATTTCACTAATCAATCTTTTTATTTTATTAAACACAAGGGGTCATTAATGATGCTTACATTATAGCATGTGCAAATTCACACACAAAATATCTATAATTTGGCCAAAATTGCACCTTTACGGGAAACGGCTGCTCACAGCGCTTGGTCACGTGTCGCACCAGAACCGTTTTCAGAACCGAAACTTAGAAATAGCTCACGGTTACGGTTCTTTTCAAAACGGTTCTTGGTTCCCAACCCTAATTAGAACTTTCCAACTTGAGTTCACGTGCATTTCTCAGTCGAGAAATGATTTTTCACGTGTGGTGCCGGTGATGATGCTTCTTACGTCCGTTTCGGAGGACCAGAGGACCGATATTTCAATCGATCGCTCAGGCATGGCACCGAAATCTGCGTTCTGACTCGGTTCTAGTACATACCGGTTACATAGGTACCGGTGCCATATTGGTACCGGGTTTCGGTACCCAACCCTAATTGTGATACAATTTCAGTTTTAGCTGTGAAGCAGCTCCACAGAAGACTACAGTGTCATTCAGATCAATTCAGTTCAATAACAGTGTTGATGTTGTAGAGTTAGTTTCATTATTCGGCTCAATTCAGGAGTTACATTGGAGTCCGGTTTAATTTATAAAATTTCATATTAATTCTCTTTTGTACTATGTTGCATAACAATTTAAAGTATTGTTTAGAACATATTTAGTCTCTAATTATTATTATTCCTACTTAGCAATATTGTAGGAGTACTGTAGTACTGTACTGTTACTAATATTATTATTATTATTTATGTTAAAAAATTAGTTTCTATTAAGTTACATTACATTTTTCTACTTACTGTTTTACTGTACTGTTAGATGTATTATTTATGCATTTATTTATTATTTAATTTAATTAAAATTGATCTTAATCTAATACTTTTTGTGCTTTAATATAATTGTATTTATTTGAATATTTTTATTATTCATTTAAACTTTTTTTTTCCCTGCTCCTGATCTGGAGGACTGATTGGGTTCTCTTTGATTCGCTCACTTTAGCTGCTGCACTGTAACTCCTTCACGATGAGCTGCGTTTCTGTCATCACAGCAGAGACAACACACAGACGTGGATCAGTGTTTTACTGCTGGCCTGACTCTGACCTCATGATTTGGAGATCAGATGTTAATGCACTGAATTCAGTGATTGCAGGCAGTTGAAGTCTCTGTCTGTTCTCCGCAGGTTCAGGAGTTTGACCACGGCCTTCTTCAGGGATGCGATGGGTTTCTTGCTCATGTTCGATCTGACGAGCCAGCAGAGCTTCCTCAACGTCAGGAACTGGATGAGTGAGTGACTGCAGATGCACCACTAACTAACCAGCACTAACCAGATTAACAGGCACTGTGTTAGCTACAGTGCTTGCTGGCGAGAATTCCTCTTTCTTTTCCTCTTCTTTATCTTATTCTGCCTATTTTTTAGTTTTCCTTTCCTGTTCTTTTTCCTCTTCCTCTTCCTCCTCCTCTCCTTTTCTTCCTTGCACACATTTCTGCAGTAGATTCAGTCTGAACTGTTGTTTTGATGATCATTTCAGCTCTGTAGCTCTGCTGTTGAATCTGACATGCTTTCGTTTACACTAAAACCTGAAACTGTGAAACACTTCTGTGTGTGTGTGTGTATGTCTATGTCTGTTTCTGTGTGTGCGTGTGTGTGTGTGTGTGTGTGAGCGTGTGCGTGTGTGTGTGTGTGTGCGGGTGTGTGTGTGTGGGTGTGTGTGTGTGTGTGTGTGTGTGTGTGTGTGTGTGTGTGTGTGTGTGTGTGTGTGTGTGTGAGTGTGTGTGTGTGTGTGTGTGTGCGTGTGTGTGTGTGTGTGTGTGTGTGTGTAGGTCAGCTCCAGGCGAACGCGTATTGTGAGAATCCAGATATTGTTCTCGTGGGTAATAAAGCCGATCTGAACGACCAGAGAGAAGTTCAGGAGAAACAAGCGAAAGAACTAGCGGACAAATACGGGTGAGTGTGTGCGTCAACTTCACTCTTCAGTCATTGATGTTTATATTTTATTTTCTCATTTATAATAGATTTACTTTTTACAAATATACAGTGGGGAAAAAAAGTATTTAGTCAGCCACCAATTGTGCAAGTTCTCCCACTTAAATATTGAGCATAAATGTATAAACATAGTAAAATGTTTTCAAAAATTTTATATACACTACCAGTTTTTGAACAGTAAAATTTTTCATGTTTTTAAAGACTTCTCTTCTGCTCACCAAGCCTGCATTTATTTGATCAAAAATACAGTAAAGCAGTAAAATTGTGAAATATTTTTACTATTTAAAACAGCTGTTTTCTATGTGAATCTCTGTTAAGCTGTAATGTATTTCTGTGATGCGCAGCTGTATTTTCAGCATCATTACTCCAGTCTTCAGTGTCACATGATCTTCAGAAATCAGTATAATATGCTGATCTGCTGCTCAACAAGCATTTCTGATTATTATTATTATTAATATTTAAAACAGTTGAGTAATTTTTTTTTCAGGATTCTTTGATGAATAGAAAGATCCAAAAATCAGCATTTATCTGAAATAAAAAGCTTTTGTAACATTATACACTATTCCATTCAAAAGCTTGGAGTCAGTATAATTATAGAAATGATAGAAATTAATACTTTATTTAGCAAGGACACTTTAAATCGATCAAAACTGATGAAAAAAACATTTAGAATGTTACAAAAGATTTCTATTTCAGATATTCATTTCTTTCTATTCATCAAAGAAACCTGAAAAATTATACTCCGCTTTTTTCAACATAATAAAAATAATAATAATAAATGTTTCTTGAGCAGCAAATCAGCATCTTAGAATGATTTCTGAAGGTCACGTGACACTGAAGACTGGAGTAATGATGCTGAAAATACAGAGTTTAACAGATATTCACACAGAAAACAGATGTTTAAAATTGTACTGCTTTTGCTGTATTTCTGATCAAATAAATGCAGGCTTGATGAGCAGAAGAGCCTTCTTTAAAAAACATAAAAAATCTTACTGTTCGTTTTATACCATATAACAACCCAAGTTTCCATTTTTGCTCAAATGAAATAATTCTCGTGTATCCATGTGTCCCAGGTTGTTCTTCTGATGTTTGTGTTTGTCTCCTCTTCCCAGAATTCCCTACTTCGAGACGAGTGCGGCGACCGGCGCGGAGGTGGATAAAGCCGTGGTGACGCTGCTGGATCTGGTGATGAAGCGGATGGAGCAGTGTGTGGATAAACCGGCGGCGGAGCACGACACGGATGGCTCCAGCAAACTGGACGCCGCGGCGGGAAACCAGAAGAAGTGTGCCTGTTAAAGCAGACCTACTGTATTACTGATATGTGTGGACATTGTGTTTTCCCTCGGAGAGTTTGTGAGAGCTGTCGTACTGCCTCGTGATCTTTAATAACCCCGTCCAAATTTAGCCCAGATTATTACCGTCTGCAAATGTGTCTGAAATATTCCATCTTAGGTCAGAAACTCACACTAAAACCCTGATGTGGCCATAATCTCGATCTAAAAAAAGGGGGGGGGGGATTTTTATTAAATTGCATTAAATTGATCAAAAGTGACAAAGATTTCTATTTCAAATAAATGCTGTTTTTTTTTTTTTTACTTTCTTTTCAAGTTTCATTGGATAAAAGCATCTGCCAAAATTTTTTCCTTTCGTTTTTAGTGCATAAATATTGTTAGTAAAATAGAAATAGTAATTATTGGGTATAGTAAGAGTTTATTTCAATAATGTTTGTTATATATTACTCATTTAAATGTTGCAGTTTCACTTGATGTTACTTTTTGTAAATATATATATATATAGACTTCAAATTTTAAATAAGGAAATTAATGCTTTTATTCATCAAGGACGCATTAAATTGATCAAAAGTGACAGTAAATGCATTTATAATGTTACAAAAGATTTCTATTTCAAATAAACGCTGTTCTTCTGAGCTTTCTATTCATTAAAGGATCCTGAAAAATAAAATGCATCACAGTTTCCACAGAAATATTGTGCAGCATGTATGGATAATAATCAGAAATGTTTCTCGAGCAGCAAATCAGCATATTATACTGATTTCTGAAGATCGTGTGACACTGAAGACTGGAGTAATGATGCTGAAAATCACAGAAATAAATTCCAGTTTAACAGAGATTCACATAGAAAACGGCTGCTTTAAATAGTAATATTATTTCACATTTTTGACTGTATTTTTGATGAAATAAACGCAGCCCTGCTGAGCAGGAGAGAGGTTGGTCTGGTAGCGTATGCTCATGGTTTGACGTCACTGGATGTCAGAGTCTGTGCATGACTGACTTGAGCTTGTGAATGTGTCTCTGGTGTCGTCAGGCTGCGGATGCTTGCGTGTTCATGCGTGTCGCTGCATGCGGTCACGCACTCCATGCAGAGCTCTGGAGAAACTCCGCTGAAGAATGTTTCATATTCCCGTCTGAATCTTCTCGTCCTGTTCGCTTGTTCTTCTCATCAGCCCTCAGAAGTGCAGATTCATGGCTGAATAACTGCGGTGTGTTTGTGAGCGGCTCCAGCACACGCTTCTGACTTCTGGACACTTGAAAGAAATCCATGTATTTTTAAAGCATCTGTGTATAAGAATGGACTGAATAAACATTTAATAATCAGGCAGATTAATGCAGATCTCCTTCTAGTGTCATGGTTTTTAGGCTGATGTCCTGAAAACACACCCAGATCATATTTCACGCCAAATTCAAAACCATTAGGATTTTTTTGCATTGTGACTTTATTTTCTTGACGGGTTAAAAGAAAAAAAAAATCTCATTACTGTACTGTATATGTAAGTTTGTTTTTCTCAATGTCTTTCATTACTGTGATGCAGTATTTTATTTTTATTTAATTAAAAAAAACTAAGTTGCAGTAATGAGAATTTGTGAAATTGTTGGATTGCAAAAACATCTCAGTCCTATATAAAAATAATAGGTTTTATTTTCTCAATGCGAAATATGTCGTGTTATTTTTGTCATGACTTTGGAGTGAAATGCGACATGTATTTTAAATATCATGAAAACATGTTCAGGTCATATTTCACCCTAAATTCAAAACCGTTAAGATGTTTTGCATTGACATCATTTTCATGACAATTAAAAGAATACATTTTAACACTAAATTCTCATTACTGTATGTAAATGTTTTACTTTAGATTTTTTTTTCTCATTAAAATCTCATTACTGTAATACGATGTTACTTAATATTATTTAAATCAGCAAAGAGGCCTATAAAATGTAATGTTTTTTTTACATTTATTTAAATTTTTGTATTATTTTCCAAACGAAAAAATTTTTATTTTGGGGTGAAATTAGACCTGGATGTGCTTTCGTTTTTTTTTTCCAAAAAGGCAGCATAAATACCATGGATGTATTTTCTCACATTTATTATTACAATTACGATACAATACAAGCTTGGTCCTAAAATTCTTAATGCAAAATAAAGTCTTTTTTTTGCCTTATGAGTTTGGGATGAAATCTGAGCTGGTTTGGTGCGATTGATATGGTTTAATATATGGTCTGTGCTGTTTTGGTTCTTAATGGCGTTTTATTTTTGTCCTCTGGTGCCAAACTCAATAAATGTTCTTCATTTGTATTAATTGACAGTTATTAAAGTTATGAATCAAGTAGACATACACACAAAACAAATCTTGATTTATAATATTTTATTACCATTTGGTAGTTCCACGTTAATCTTTGAACTCCTTATCAAACCCCCTGGAGCTAAATCTGCAGCACAGCATCACGAACACTTAATAACGACGATTCCCTTAATAACCTTCAGCAGAATAATATCCGTCCTGATCGCTCAACGCATGCAAATAAACTCATCAATATTTATTCCTATCTAGATTATATTAATATATGCATAATGTCATTTGCATATATGATTGAATTGAGAAATAACAACAGAAACAGAACAGAGAGCTTGATAAAGAACTAATGCACACAATAGCTTACTGTAAACCAGATTTGGCAGTGACGGCGAAGCAGATTCTCCTGTAAGTACTTATTCAAATCCTAAGAGCGTCAGTCCACAGGAAAGAGCTTTTCCACAACAGTGTTTATATGGAGCTTCTCTGGATCCGGTCTCCCTCTCGTAGACCTGGACTCGAGTGGTTTCCGTGATCAGTTTTGGTTTGTAGTCTTTGATATTTGAAAGGAAACCGTTTGACAGCAGGTTTACGTTCAGGTCCAGGCTGATTGGGTTTTGGCAGTTTTTGATATAGTTTTAGCTTCGGTTAGGCCGGTTCGGTCTGGTCTGGTCTGGTCCCGTCACACCTGAGTGATCTGCTTGTCTGTGGATTCGGTCTGATCTTCCTCTTCATCATCCTCTTCACTCAGGTGCAGCTTCAGGTTTTCCAGAGTTTGTCTCGACTCTTTCCTCCTGCTGAACAAAATGAACTATTTTAGAAGAACATCTACAGAACATTAACCTGTATAAATGTGGTGTATATAGTAACACAAATATATATTTCTAATCATAATTTAAAAAAAAAATATATATAAAAATATTTTTTATAATTATAATAAAATACATATTTGCATAAATAATTGATTATTATTAAATAAATATAATTTATATGAATGTAAAATAATATGGTGTATTAACACAAAAATGCAATACATTTATACATAAATATCTATTAAACAATTTATGTTATATCAATATGTGGTATATATTAACACAAATATGTCTTTATAATTACAATAAAATACATTTATACATTAAAATGTATTAATGTAATTTATGTTAATATTAACATGGGGTATATATTAACACAAATATTTATTTATACTTAATAAAATATACATTCAGTGCGAGTGTGCGTGCATGAGTGTGCGTGCGCGAGTGTGTGTGTGTGCGCGCGCATGCGTTCGTATGCATGTATGTGCGTGTGTGTGAGTGAGTGAGTGAGTGTGCGTGCGTGTGTGCGTGGTGGATTCGGTCTGATCTTCCTCTTCATCATCCTCTTCACTCAGGTGCAGCTTCAGGTTTTCCAGAGTTTGTCTCGACTCTTTCCTCCTGCTGAACAAATTAACTATTTTAGAAGAACATCTACAGAACATTAACCTGTATAAATGTGGTGTATATAGTAACACAAATATGTATTTCTAATCATAATTTAAAAAATATATATATATAAAAATATTTTTTATAATTATAATAAAATACATATTTGCATAAATAATTGATTATTATTAAATAAATATAATTTATATGAATGTAAAATAATATGGTGTATTAACACAAAAATGCAATACATTTATACATAAATATCTATTAAACAATTTATGTTATATCAATATGTGGTATATATTAACACAAATATGTCTTTATAATTACAATAAAATACATTTATACATTAAAATGTATTAATGTAATTTATGTTAATATTAACATGGGGTATATATTAACACAAATATTTATTTATACTTAATAAAATATACATTCAGTGCGAGTGTGCGTGCATGAGTGTGCGTGCGCGAGTGTGTGTGTGTGCGCGCGCATGCGTTCGTATGCATGTATGTGCGTGTGTGTGAGTGAGTGAGTGAGTGTGCGTGCGTGTGTGCGTGAGTGAGTGTGTGCGTGCGTGTGCGAGTGTGTGTGAGTGAGTGTGTATGTGTGTGTGAGTGAGTGTGTATGTGTGTGTGAGTGTTTATGTGCGTGTATGTGCGTGTGCATGTGTGTGAGTGAGTGTGCGTGTGTGCATGTGTGTGTGTGAGTGAGTGTGTGTGTGTGTGTGAGTGAGTGTGTGTGTGTGAGTGAGTGTGT